TATTTTAGGGTTTGGAAGGTTTAAGGTTTTGATTTTATGTGTTTAAGGTTTTAGGGTTTCAATTTTAAGGTTTGAGGTTTGGGGTTTCGATTTTAGGCTTTAAAGTTTTAAAGGTTTCGATTTTAGGGTTTGATATTTTATGGTTTAGTGCTTTGATTTTAGGGTTTAAATTTTATGGTTTAAAATTCAAATTTTAAGGTTTAAAGAAAACACGAACATCTTTAAAAATTCTCAACATCTAGGTGGATTTTCGAAGCAAGTTCGACTCTTTTATAATTTTTCAAAAAATAAATTTTTTTTATGAAGAGTTAATATTAATTTTTTTAGTTTTACCTTTTTTTTAATAATAATTTTCCAACATCTAGGTGAAATTATTATTATTTAAAGTATGATTGTATTCTCTCCAACATTTAGGCATGAAATTTTTTTTATTATTAGTAATTTTAGAATCATTTTAGAATTTATTATTATTATTTGTTATTATTATTATTCTACAAGATTTATTATAAAAAAATAAAATTTAACTATATATTTCATTACTTATTTTTATTTATTGATTAATTATTTATAAAAATTCATTCTAGCAAATTTAAACTTTTTAACATGCATAGATATTAATAATAACATTTAAAATTACAAGAATAATATTTAAAAACTTTCAAAAAATTTAAAAAAAAAATTATTACTTGAACTAGACCGATCATTGCTGGTTCGGACAATTCAGGCAGTTCAGCTGTTCAGTCAATGGTTCTGGCTATTTGGCAGTTTGATCAACAGTTCAGATGGTTCAATCAATGGTTTGGTTGAACCAGTTCAAGGTTGGCTGAAGGATAAGTCATCCGATCGAATACACGGACCCCAGGTCGGGTTACAGGCACGTGTGGATCCTCAATGCCCAAACGACGTCATTTTGTGCTTTCGATCTTTTATATAAAATCAAAATTTTTTTCTTCATTTCAAACCCCTTTTCGAAAAAAATTTTGAGAGCTCTAAAGAGAGCTCCAAACTCTGCCACCATCCAGCCTTCAGCCACCTGCGTCGCTGCGCTAGTCATTGTGCCATTCGTCGATGGTGGTTGCTGTCGGTGGTCGAAAAATACCAAAATACTTTCAGAAGCTCTCTTCAATGTGATATTTCCAGATCTGGTCTCCTTTTCACCAAAAACAGACCCGAATAGCATAGATTGATGCTTAAAGTTTCTGTCTTCTTTCTTTTTTTTGTTGTTTTTTTTATGAACTGTAACTGTTATATTATTTCTTTTACATGTACCCCTTTGGCACTGGGTTCCTCACCGTAGGCGAGGATTGTGTTTCTCTTTTTTGGTTTTTTTTTGTGATTATGTCTATTTGAAAAAGAATTGGGTTAGGGGTAGAATTGGGTCTCTGAACGGGTATCTCGAGGATGCCGTTGTGGTGGTTTTGAGTGTAGGAAGTGGGTGTGTGGCATTGGGTAAGCTTAGGTTTGTGAAGTGTGGATGTTTGAAGGCCTGGTGAGGGTCGAATGAGGGTGAGAGGGATCAGTACTTGAGGGTTTCTAGGTATTTTGTCTCTTGGTAGTGGCTGAATGGGGTTTCTATGCTTGTTTGAAGAGTTAGGTTTCAATATGTTGAGGGCTGAGTTTTTGGTGTGTTTGAAGATCTGTTCGAGAAAGAAGTGAGTGTTTGAGGGCAGTGTGTCTAGTGGGAGAGGGATTGGTGCTTGGGAGAGGTCTAGTTTTTATAAAGATGTGGGATTGAGAAGGCATGGGTTTGGCAGGGTAAGTTGTAAGGGTAGTTATAGGGTTCTAGTAAGGTGAACAGATAGGGAGCTGGTTAGGGTAGGGATGGTTGGAGGTGGCTGCAGGGGTGGTTGGTGCTAGTGCACAGCAACCAGACATTAGCCCTTGCTTTATGCTTTTTTTGTATTTTATTTTATTTTATTTTTTAATTAGTTATTTATTTATTATAATAATTATTTAATATTATTGGATTTTTAATACTAAAAATAATGGGCTAGCTTAGGCCCAAAAAAATAGGAATTGGACATCGACTCAAATGGATTAAAATTGGGCTGAATCTGATAAAACTTTAACGAATTTAAAATCAAATTTTGATTCGAACGCCCAAAAAATCCAGACAAAATTTGATGTTTACGTTTAGTCTCTAATAAAAACATATCATGATCTACTTTTGGTCCAAATAATAGTTATTTTTTAAAATTATAATCCCAATAAAAGCCTTTGATGTACGTAAAGAAAAAAATTTTTATCAAATAAGACATTTGAAAGTTTCAAAATCTTCTTTTTATCATTAAAACATGACCTCATCAACAAAATATCACAACTTCGTTTTGCATGTTATTAAGCTGCTACAATTGCAAGATATCCACAAGCTAGACTTAAATGCAGCATGCATAAGGTGAATTTAATCGTTCGTGCATGAAGAGAGCACATGATTCTGTCTTGAAGATTTGCTTTGGCTAGCTGCCATTTAGGATCACATTATATCATTCCACCACCATGGGTCCAGAACAACAAGAACTAATCAACAAGGATAATTGCTGAAATAGGATCTCTAATCTAATCGTCTCTAGCTCTATATTATCTTTGATAATTTGAGGCATGACAACTTTTACGTGCTTAAGTTCAACAGTAAATTTGTTTTTGAGATTTATGTAAGTACAATTTTTTTTATAAAGAGATTGTAGTTTGAAGGTTGAGAAAAGAGATGTAGGTGTAAGGATTCAAATTTTAAATTTGTTAAATGTTATTTTTTAAAAATTATTATATAAATAAATTGAATTAAGTTTTAAATTTTATGTAAATAAAAATTTAATTTTGTTGTTAAAAGAAAAAGGCACGTGACATGAATATGCAGAACATCATATATTCAACCATTTTAATTAGAAATCAAGTGACACTTTAGTAAACAAAAAGTTAGACCTGACAATTCATGTTTTTGTGTTGTGTCTTGTACCGTATCTTGTGTTGTGTTTGATATGTATAATGACATGAATTGTTAAAATATGAACACGACACAAATTATAAAATATGTTTAAATTTTAAATACGAATATAATATATTTATTATACATGTTACATGCAACACAATATGATAAACACATGCATAATTAATTCATTTAAATACGACATAAATAGATGTGATTAACACGAATATACACGACTAACATTATATATACAAGAACACCATTAAATTAATAAATAACTATAAACTATCCATTATTTACAACTTAATAAAATTGACATATTAATAATATAAAAAAGTACTTACATATTAAAAAAATAAAAAAATTTAATACCCATTTAATATGTATTTAATATATATTTAAATTTTAATATATATTATATAACTATATTAATTTTAGTATCAAATTCAAAATGATAAATTTTATATGATATTTAATAGCTAATTAAGTATCATAATTAAAAATTAAATATTGAAATAATCTTTATATGTTTCTATTAAATTAAATATTGAAATAATCTTTATATGTTTATATTAAATTAAATATTAAAATAATTTTTATATGTTTATATTAAATTAAAATAAATATAAAAAATATATTAAACGTATTAAATATATTAAATATATACTCATATGATAAAATTAAATTAAATATGTTATTCATATCATGTCATATATTTAGACATGTTAACACAAATAAGGTACAAATTTTGTCATATTAAAATTCGTATCAATATTAATAAATATAAAACACATTTTTTTAAAAAAAATATATAATTTTTTTATTATTTTCGTATTGTATCGTTATATTATATATGAAATTATCATATTTACAAAAAGTCCAAGTGAAAAATATTGAAGTGTTCAACAGTACCAGAGGAGATGAGAAAAGAAAATAATCAGTATAAAAAAAAATTAAGAGTTGCCATGTGAAAAAGAGAACGTGTTCTCAGACTAATTTGCTTGATGCCAACTCCATACCCATCAGGCCATCACTTCACTATGTAACTGCACTAAATGATGTCAGAGAGATAAGAAAATTTTTCTTCCAAAGCTGGATCTTGACTTGTTCTACTCCAAAGGCATGAGACAGAAGAAGAGGGGGCAAGAAATTAATACACCCCACTTAGATTCCAACGGGGTTAGCAAAAATTTTACCTTTTTGGAAATTTGTTTTTGTTTTGCTTGTCAATTGGGGTAATGGTTTTCATGTGGTCCTTATGGATCACTTTCTTTCGGCTTTAAAGTGTGTGTTTTCTTGCAATTGCATGGCCAGGATTACCGGTGGAAATCAACTAAAGTCCAACCTGTGAAAACAGGCTAGAAAATCAAAAGGCTTCACATGTTTGCATTTAAGACCAGGCCTGGAGATTTGCAAGCCCATTTCTGCCTATTGAAATATACATCTGTTTCATCTTTGGATAAACAATTTTCTGAGACAGATATAATTAAAAAAAAGAAAAATAGTAAGGATCCTGTGACATTTTGGGTTGTAACTCGTAAACATTCACGTATTGCTGATCTGCTATCATTGTCAGCCTCTCTACCTTTGCTATGATCTAACACAAGCAAATACTATTCTAAATCTACTATGTCACTTCAAATGAGTGATTATATAAGCCAATTAAATTTACTATCTTCTTATGCTTTCAATTAAAAGTTTCCTCAATATTAGCTGGGAATTTACTTCACAATAACTTGTTAAACAAGGTTCTAGGTACCTAATTAATGCTACCCTTTCTTTTTTGGCCACATAGTTAATGCTACCTTTTACTTCAATTAACTTTCAATCAAATAAAATGCTCTTGCAATGGTATAGTTGACTTTCTTTTGATAAATGGTGATGATGGGATGCACAGGCTCACAAGAAAGCAAGTCAAACTTTAATTCTTCAGCACATCTAATAAATAGAAAGGGCGTTTGTTATTAATAATTTGTTTCATTCATTCCCTTCTTTTTTTCTTTTTTCCTTACCTCTTTTTCCTTTAAAACTGAAGAAAAATATTAATGACAAGATCCTATCCCAATAGCAATGTCCTTCTAAAGATCTTTATACATATATATAGATCTATATGCATATATACAGATAATCCATTAAGCTTGAGTTCAGTCCACAAATACTCATCCTTGGATAATGAAAATTATAGGCCTCAAAAAAAAAAAAAAGCTTGAATACTCTAATTCATCTCATTTTTCCAAATGCAAGATTTTACAAAGCTGATAAGTCGTTTTCTATGCAGAAAATCAGGACAGAAATACTATTACTTATTCTCAACCAAAGATATCTGCCACAATAATTTGAAATTTACCCTTTTGCTCTGCCACTATAAAGGGGTGATACCGATTTCTTACTTGAACGTAAAGACCTATAGCGAAAAAATAAGCCAAGATCAAAAGAATCCCAAAATGGCCCTAAAAGAAGATACTGCCCGGCTTTAGACAAAGTTAGCATTTTCATCTAATTTGATATCACTAAGCTGGTAATCATTCCCTTGATTGGGAGAATCGTCAAAAAGCCATTTCTCGAGCAATGACAGTTGCCCTTGGGCAGTAAGATCGGGCTTACTTTCATCTCGGAAAAGGCTTGCCTCAGGTGACATAGATTGTGAGATATCAGAATTGGAAGAATCAAAAGATTCAAAGACAAACAGTGACTCAAAAGGCTCTGACATTTCCATGCTGCTAGTGTCTTCCTTCCTTGGAGTCCCTGCTTTAGAGGCAGAATCAGTCATCCCAGCCACGTTGTCGAATGATTGTTGAGTGGTAGCAGAGTTTTTAGAAGCAGGCTTTGATGGATTTCTCATCCACCCTTTTAACAACTCGGCTATGTTCTCTGTGCTTGATGCATAGCATCGTGGTTTTGCGTAAGAAATGTACCCAATAGAGGGTTTCAGCTCAGCTAAACCACTTGATTTCTCTGGGGACAAGGCATCATATAATGCCTGTTTAGCCATATGGATATCAATCTGCAGCCTTCTCTCCCACTGACCTCTAGAAATTTGCTTTGGTGATGTTGTTGATGATGATGATGATAACCCATCTCTAAAATAACCTTCACTGCCTTGGGGCTTCTTCAGCTTCTTCTTCAAGTGAGTGTTCCAATAGTTTTTAATGTCGTTGTCTGTTCTTTGAGGGAGGTAAGATGCTATTGCAGCCCATCTGCAATAATATTAAATATATTACACTGCTTTGAGAAATCAATTTATTCATGCCATCTAAGATTAAGCAGATGATTACCTGTTGCCTAAAAGAGCTTGAAGGTGGATTATCATTTTCTCCTCATGTTCAGTAAAGTTACCTCTTTTAATCCCTGGCCTTAGGTAATTAGTCCATCTAAGCCTGCAGCTCTTGCTACATCTAAGCAACCCTGGAAAGAAAACCAGAAACAAAAAAAGATTAATAATTTCAGGAGTATACAATCAAATCATGGTAGACTTTTCACATGTCACAAAGTAAAGACAAAAATTGAAAACTTTTGATTCTATTTCCTTCATGATCATCAATACCAAACCAAACCAAACCAAAAGAAAAAAAAACAAAACAAGATCCTGTTGTGTTAAAAAAGAATGTAGCTCCGAAAATAGAAATCATTTAACCCAAAAGATTAAAAAAGAACAAACCTGTATTGGTGGGAACAGCCCTCCAATTCCCAGGACCATGTTCTTGAATATAAGACACCAAGATGATATCTTCTTCGGGAGTCCATGGCCCTTTCTTCACACCTACTTTGTCACAACAAGGTGGTCTCCCCATATCACCTTGTTTTCTTTTTTTTTTCCCTTTTCTTATTCTAATCCTGAAGAAATCAGAAAACAGGCTCTATTTTGATTTTGTGTTTGGAAGCTTTAAGACAAGGGTATAAGGCTAAGGTTTCCTTTTGTCCTGCTGTGCATATATAGAAAAGAGAGTATGAGAGAGAAAACACTGACCTAAAAGGTGCAAAAGGGTGCCCTTCCAACTGCCACTCCAAAGAGTCAAAAGATGACAGCAATAGCATTAACTCTAGGGGAGGGAGGGAGGGAAGGGCAGGCAATGCCGAAAGTCAGCTATGCCAAAGACAAGGCAATGCCTCTTCTGCCTCCTAAAACCGCGTGGAATTCAATGTGGGTTGCGCTGAAGGAAACCTATATACGATCTCTGCCATTTTTATTACTTAAAAAAAAAAACCAAAAATTGGTGATGAATAATGGAGTTAATTTACAGCATAAAGTCTTAGCCTTGTAAAACCAAAGGCATTGTTTCCGCTCGTTATTACATTCATGGCCGGGCCTTATTAATGGAATGTTTCGGTTAATAATGCCTATATGTCTAGTGGCGGACCACCGTAGGAGCATTTTGAAATTCCTTAAAATATAAACTATACACTATAATAATTTCACATGTATTTGTATTATATTAAATTAAAATAGCTTTTAGATTAAATTGTTATTTATTAATTTTTATTTTTAACTTAATTTTATATATTACAATTTAAGCAGATTAATTATTATATTATTATTCATAAATTTTTAAAAGTAATACATCTATCATAAATATTTAGTTACACTCATACAAACTTTAAAAAAAAAAAAAAAAACTCATTACCTTTCTAGTTTTCTCAATTAGGTTTCAAATCTTCAATCAAGTATCAAAAGTATTTTGATTTTTTAGTCGATTGCACTTATCTTCTCATATGTTTGTGACCGTTTTCAAAATTTTTTGTTTGATTAATTCTCAAATGAATTATGTTAATTGTTTGATTTTTTATTTTTGTTGATATATCCGTAGGTAACAAATGTGGGTTTAAAAGTCGAACAATCCAAATATATGATAAGTTTTGAAAATATGAGTATATCTATATTCAACAAATACTAGTATTTGACATTGACATTTCAGTTTGAGTAATATAGTAAATGAAATATATATGTAATCTTAATTGATCTTTCAAAATCAAATTTCAAGATCCGTTACTATATACGTCTATTAGTTCATGAATACTTGTTAAATATATATTATATATATTTGCATAGATTATAAAATTCATTTTTCAGGTGAAGATGTTAAAAATTGATAAATGTTTCTTTACTTTTTTATATATTTTAAAAGGGTATGTAACAATCCTCTAATCTAATTTGTTGACGGTGTCTAAAAACTCCGTTGATGAATTTTTTAAATTATATTTTTTAAAAATAACTTTTAATCAAACTTTTCATTAAATTTAAAAAAAAAAAACTTATTTTGACCTTCCCACTTACTGTTAATAAATAACTACGAGAGAAGAATTACTTTGTCATCATTCTTAAAGTTACTAGAAAAACTTTAGTCAAATAATAGATGAATGAAATCCGGATAAAAATATATAAATTTGAGTATTAATAGTATTAGAATATGATCAAATTAACATAATTTTGGATGATAGGCAAGATGATCGAAACTCAGTCGAACAAATATAAAGTTCTAAATTACAAAAAGAAAAGAAAAAAAAAAGACTTTCGTTTGCATATCATGCCATATGTCACGAATTAGGTTTTCTCTCAATAAGTAATAGATCGTATGGCGCTTGAATAGACGTTCTCACCCAAGTCAATCCTCAATAGTTTGATATCGAACAAATAACCATAAGCCACAGTTAATCTCAAGCGTACGTAATAAGACACATTCATATCGAGATCAATCTCAAGCATACACAAAAAGGCACATTCACATTGAAAAAAAAAACATATTAAGGCAACATTCGGGACATTCAAATCGGAGGTGAATTTTATTATAATCGAGAATAGTACATTGAGACTTTTCACCATCACTAGGGCCAGGGGGTAGCCTTTGGCGAATGGCCTAGGCCCGTATCGCGACCGGTGAAACAGCCCAACAATACGCTGCCCGCTCACTCCCTAAAGAGCTTTAGAGATTTTAGAGCTATGCTACCACTAACCATTACAATGTTTGAAATTGAGACACTTTTCCTAACACAAGAGATCTACCATCCCCATTGGCACTTCTACCCGGTCATGGCCCTATACATGGGTGGCTCATGACAACCTAAGCCCTGGTCATGGCCCTATATAAGGTTGGCTCGTGACATCCTCCCCCACCTATTCTATCGACGTCCTCGTTGACTTGCTGGCTTGAAATTCTTCAATCTTCTTTTTAAATCTTCGGAGGTCGTGTTCCCTTTTCTAGCTGGTTTCTTCTAATCATAATCCATCCCACTTCACTAAGTATTCACGAACTAGTCTTCAAGATACCTTGGTTTCTCTGTCAGTTAAGATCTTTTCGACTCGACGCTCTGAGGGTGGCTTCATGGTGATGGTGGCTCTGGTTGGCTCCCTTAAGCTAGCATTTGTAGGATCTGCATGGAAAGGTTTCAAGTTGCTCACATGAAATACTGGATGCACCTTTATCCACTTTGGTGGGTCGATTTTGTAAGAAGCATTCCCCACCTTAGAAAGGATCTTCACTGGACCCTCATATTTACGCATTAATCTACGATCTCCCTTTCTTAAGAATCTGGTTTGTTCAGGGACTAGTCAAACAAGAACCAAATCACCAACTTGGATTTGTTGCGCCCTACGACCTTTGTCCATTTATTTCTCATTCGCTTTGATGCCTTCTCTAGGTAGGCTTGTGCAATCTCAGTGTTTTGTTTCCATTTTTTACTGAAGTTGAAGGCTCTCGAATTCTTCCCTTTATATTGCTCCAAAAAAGTATAGGATAACCTTGGTAATTGTCCGGTGACCACCTCAAACGGGCTCTTGTTAGTGGAATAGCTTTTATTAAAATTAAAGCAAAGCTGAGCAATATCCAATAACGAAGGCCAGTTCTTCTGATTAGCTTGAACAAAGTGCTTTAAGTATTCCTCTAGTAATCCATTGAACCGTTCTATTTGACTGTCGGTTTGAGGGTGGTAGCTTGAGAATATGTTAAGTTGGGACCCTAATATCTTGAAAAGTTCTCTTCAGAAGGATCCCGTGAATTTCGGATCTCTATCACTTATAATGTTTTGAGAGAAGCCCTAGTATTTGATCACATGTTTAAACAGTAGTCGAGCTGTATCTTTTGCAGTACAATACTTTTGAGTGAGAATGAATGTGGCGTACTTAGAGAAAATGTCAATCACCACCAAAAAGCTCCAAGATCACCAACCTTGGGAAGGCCCGAAATGAAATCGAGAAAGATGCTTTCTCATGGTCTAACGAGCACCAGTAGTGGTTCAAGCATGTTTGCAGGTTTTTTCTTTTCAACTTTGTCTTGTTGACAGATAAAGCAAGTCTTTATATAGTCCATCACGTCTTGTCGCATGTGAGGCTAATAGTATCCATGTTTCAATAAAGCCAAAATACGTTGTCAGCCCGAATGTCTGGCCCATGGTATGTCATGACATTCCTTCATTAGCATCTATCTCAGACCTCCTACTCTTTGCACAAACAATCGGGGCCCCTTAGTCCATAAGACCTCATTTTCTTATCAAAAGTACTTAGACTTCCATTCTTCAACTAGCTTCAGGATGGCACTGGCCTGCAGGCTCTTCCCTAAATGATATTCAATTAACTTGTAAATATCTATCATGACTCTACTAGCCGCCATTGGGGTAATTCTTTTAAGGGCTATTAACTCTATTCGTCTACTCAATGCATCGGCCACTTGGTTAGTCTTTCCAGTGGTGTGCTCAAAACAAAAGTCAAACTCCGTTAAAAATTCTTGCCATCTAGCTTGTTTCACTGTAAGCCTTGGTTAGGTGAGGCAATGGCTAATGGTCGTATTGTCTGTCTTCATGACAAAGTGTAAACCCAACAAATAATGTCACCAAGCCCTCAGGCAGTGAACTACCGCTAAGAGCTCTTTTTTTTTAACTGTATATTTCTTCCCAGCTTCACTTAGCTTTCTACTTTCAAATGTTATTGGGTGACGTTGTTGTAAAAGCACTCCCCCAATAGCAAAATCAGATGCATCCATCTGAACTTCGAAAGATTTTTCAATGTCAGGGAGAGCTAAGATAGGATCTTTCATAATAGCATCCTTCAATCCCTCAAAGGCCTATTGGCACTCACTTGTCCAACACCATTTATGCTTTTTTTTTCAATAGCTCCGTGAGGGCCGTGGTCTTACGATAGTACCCTTATACAAATCTTCTATAATAGTTGGCTAATTCTAAAAATGAGCACTAACATTCTTCGGTGTTGTCCACTCTTTGATAGTCTTAACCTTTTTCATATCCATTCGAATGTGACCATGTTCGACAATGTGACTTAAAAAGTGGATTTGGGTCTGAGCAAATGCATATTTTTTCTTTTCACATACAACTGGTGGTCTTATAATCTTTGAAGCACTTGGCCCAAGTGTTCTTGATGTTCTTTCAGAGTAAAGCTATATACCATTATGTCATCTAAACAGATGACTACAAATTTGTCTAGATAGTCATAGAACACCTGATTCATCAATGTACAAAATGTGGCAGGAGCATTGGTCAGTCCAAAGGGCATAATAAGAAATTCAAATACGTCATACCATATTACACAAGTGATCTTTAGCTCATCTCCCTCAGTGATTCTGACCTGATGATAGCCAGATCTCAAGTCTAATTTGGAAAAAGCACTTGGCTCGGCTTAATTGATCAAACAAATCTATTATAAGAGGGTGAGATATTTGTTTCTCACGGTGACTTTGTTCAGGACCCTGTAGTCAACACATAATCATAAACTTCTATCATGCTTTTTTTGAAATAGCACTGGTGCTCCAAAAAGAACCTTTGATGGTCTAATGAACCCGACCTGTAGAAGCTCATCTAACTATTTCCTTAGTTCGGCCAACTCTAGTGGGGCCATACGATAAGGGGCTCTAGTAGGGGGTTTGACTCTTAGGATGAGCTCAATTTCATGGTCCACAGCTTTTCGAGGAGGTAGAACCTTAGGCAACGTTCCTAGCATCACCTCTTCGAATTCTTTCAACATTTTTTTCATGCCATCGGGTATCGGTTCCACTTCTAACCTTTCCTTGTAAATCGGTATGGCCACAAAAGAGGGTTTCCCTCTCTTTACCTCTTTCTTAAACTG